TTAAGAACACTCTAAAATATGCTTAAGACCAACTGTGTAAGGAAAGATAAACTATAGAGGACACTAAGTGACAAGTGTAGCAAAGTTATGGTTGAAATTATTTCTGTGTATTTATACACAGAAATAACATCTACACTTATTATAAGAGAAAATAACTTACTAAGATGAAAAGTTCTTGAGAGTGCAAATATCAGTTCTTGCTCAAATGTTAACTTACACCTTAGAGTTTTTCAAATATTTCATTTCTTAAAGAAAACAGATGCCCACAATTTTTTTTTAAATGAAAAGTTAACTGAAGACCATTAAAATATTTAAGATAAATAAATACATAAATAATTTATTAAAATAAAATAATAATTACATTAAAAAAATAAATATACATATAAATAAAAATCCAAGATTTAATCACTTTCATTTATTAAGCAATAAATAAATGATATCACTTAATGGCCTTCATAGATTACTTTTCTTTACACAGTTGGCATTAAGAATATTTTAGAAATTTCTTAAAGTCCAACTATGAAAACGTAACTGTATTTTTCCTCTACTTCTGTTTATAAATACAGGTTGCAAAATAAAATCACTACATTTACCTTTGAGGACAAAAAGCAATGGTAAAGAAAAGTTTTCCTTTTCTCTCTCTATCCTTGTCAGCCCTCTTCAATGAACAATGTTTGAAAGAAAGGTTGCTTCTAAAATGTACATTATATATATATATATATATATATATATATATATATATATATATATATGTGTGTGTGTGTGTGTATGTGTATTTATTTGTGTGCGTCTGTGTGTATGTTTATGAGTAGAGTCAAAACTAAAAAGGTTTGATAAAGTTTTACAAAATCTGAAGAGGAAGCAACAAAGTTTACAGTCTCTGAAAACAATCTTACTAAAATAGACATAAAAAAATAACAATTTCAAGTGGCAAAAATATGTAAAAATAGGATAAACTTGTTAATGTAAAAAAAAAATGCAAGAAAACAAAACAAAAATAAAAGTACATCATATATGTGTGGCCAAAATGTATTCAAATCCTGCTCAGGTAGAAACATCCTTACAGATCTGTCCCAGATTTCCAATAAAGCAAGCAAAATTTCTCTATACAACAGCAAAGTCACTGCACTCATTGAGACCCACTGCCAAAATAATTCACAAGGACATTCATACACAACAGAAACTCAATATCAATAAATGAATAAAAACTATATGTACAGAACACAAAATATCACAAATGGTTTTCAAAAATGGAAAATTGGTTAAAACAGATTGGGTAAATAATATTTATTCTAAATAACAAGAAATAAGCAAAATAAAAGAAGTCATAAGCAGCAAAAAAAGTAGGAATAAGCAATTATTAGTATCTTGTGTGTGTATATATATATATATATATATATATATATATATATATATATATACACACACACACACACATTTTAGTCTATAAAGGATAATATATGATAAAAAGGTCAAATATTGAAAATTGTAGAAAACAAAGAATAGTAGGTAAAACATGATTTTATTTGCAAAAGTAAAAATTAAGTTTTTTAAAAAAAAAAGTACATTAACAAAAAACAAATATGTTTAGCAGTTTGCAGAATAACAGATTTCAAAACAATAAATAGCATCTGCAAGCATGCAGAAATCATGCAAGTTATCTCAAAAGAAATAATGCAATTTTTCCAGATTATGGAAAAACCATGTTTAATTTACTTTCGATCAATATGATTATTTCATATTTGTTTTCTTCAATATGAAATTAGTCCTAAAAATACTATGAAAACAGAGATGGAACAGTAAAATACGGTTACAATATAAAAAATTAATGTATTAATGTGAATTGCTCCAGTAAGGTTCTTTACAAGCTACTTTTCTCAAATATCAAGAATTTTATTTTTAAGTTAGTTTTCTTCAGTCTATTACAATTATATATATATATATATATATATATATATATATATATATATATATAAGCATTAGTAAAACTGTTAGCAAAATATATTGGTAATTTAACAATATCAAGCAATATATGTAAAAAAATAAAAATATAGCATTTATTTCATAATGTATGCCTCCTTCCAGATTTGAAAGCATTAGTTATTTTTAAGTCAAATAACAAAGCAGGAATAATTTTTTATAAAGAAAAAAAAGTCATTTAATATATTGTCATTTATACAAAAACTCATACATTAAACAGTTTTCCTAAAATTAAAATAAATAGAAATAAATTAGGAATTCAATTTTTGCAATAGCTAGATCATTTTCAGTTTTAACATTAAAATATCCTGCAATTTGTATATTAAATTCTTACAAAGATTATTAATACATTCTTAAATACTTATTTCATTACAACATGAACAAAGCAAATGTCCAAATGAAATAGTTTGCACTAAAGAGAGTATTTAAGGCAAATTCAAGAAATAATGATAGAATTTAAGTAAAAGTATCAAAGACTGAGTTTTCATGAATAACAATGGAGCAACTTTAATAAATAATCAATCTAGAAAACACAAAAAAAATGACAAATTTCAGATTTACTTTTAGTTTTAAAATGAAAAAATACTATCAAGTGGGGTGACTATGCTCAGCAGAATGATGAATCACAAGAAAGTTATTCAATTTGTTACAATTTATTGGCAGAAAATCTTAAGACAATAAAATGTTATTTGCAGCTGATTGTAAGCCAAATTTATCTTTATTTTGGTAATTATAATTATCACAATTCAAACTCTAACATCAAAATGCGAAATTTACTATAGCAGTATTTTCTCAATTTTTGATCTTTATTAGGTAACTTAATATTGAAAATTATTTACACTATTTACATTGTTCGGACTGTTGTCCTCATCTTTGTTGCCATATTCACAATGTTTGGGCCATTGTACGCTTCTTCAGGTGATTGGAATTTCAAATCAAACCCTTTATTTTTGCCCACCAGGGTAAATTGTTCTCATTCTCATTCCACATGCCATGCCTCTTCTGAACATCTCAACTCTCCAAGTTTTATTCACCTGTTTTGTAGCCAGTTATTGAGCTCACAACTCTTTGGGTCAAGTCACTGGATTACTTCAACCAATGTTTTTATCCACTGGGCCATGTGCCCATGTATGAATTTTTTGGACTTATAAACCTAATGTCTCAGTAGCCATTTTTACCAGAGCTCATATTACAATTTGTTGTTATTATTGTTTTTTTCTAACACTCAGTATTACTGGTTCCCATATTGTATTCATTTCTACACTTGGCCAACTTAGGAGATTTTAGAGGCCTAGCATATGCGCTGATTCCTTAAGTTTTCTTATTTTCCAGTGGTGCTTTCTGTCTATTATTTCAACCACAAGGGGTGGTGATCTCCCTTTTTCCTCCATATCATCAACCACACCTGATTTTTCTATTTCCCCTTGTGTTACTGCAGTTTTATATGGGGGGGGGGCTGTTTCTCCCCATTCACATCATAAATATGGTAACAAAGATGAGGACAACATTCTGGACAATGTAAATAATTACAATACCTCATCTCAGAAATATAGACAGAAAATTGAAAATTATATTCATTTATGTAATTCATATTTTAATGAGTATTAAATACAAATAAAATCCTTTTCTTTTGGTTTATATTTCATGTTAACTTAAATTTAACAATAAAAATCTAATCTTATATTTCATATCTATGAATCTAAATGGCATAGCCACTTGTATCTGTGGATTCCCATCTATCAGAGTGGCTAGCTAATCTCTATTGCAGACGCCTGCTCAAGCACATTTGTCTTTGTTCAACACCACAGAAACCACCCATGGTTTATACTGCAACTATTTTGAGTGGACCTTAATTACAGTTTCTGGGAAAGTGTGTGTTGTCTGGTGTGATTAGCAGTCTGAACAAAGCCAGGATGCTTAAACCCTCAGTCATGATGACTTGTGACTTTGTGCTAGCACAAGCATCGATGGCTCCCAAGGGTTCCGTCTATCCAATTTCACTCACAAGAGTCAACCCATGGTATGATTTTCAGGCACTTTCCAAAGATGTTGCCCACTGGGATTGCCGCCTCCAGACCAATAACATCAAGAAGTTACCTTCCTGACAATCACCCATGGTGAAATTCAAACCCAGATCTTATTGTCAGAAAACAAATGTTCTAACCACTCGGCCATTTGCCCGTATCTATGAACAGTACTTTAAAATAGCATTTTTAATTTCAGTAAAATATATCCTTTTTATTAGTAGCAACTAAAAAAGTTAAAAATAAAAATTAAGTGAGTAAAAAAACTGACAATGATTTCCATTGCATCTTCACTTAAAATTTACATTGTCTCAATTTACTAAAAATACTAAATGTAATTTTAAGTTCAGGTTTTTAAATAGCTAAGAACAAGAATCTGTAACCACAATATTTTATTAGCATCTATCAACACAAAAAAATACAACTAACACAATACAATTAATATATCAATATTAAACACATTATTTTTGCCTAATTAGCAGTAAAGGTTTTTTTTTTTAAATCACTGAAATCAAATGTCAAAAATCATGTAAGCAAATAGATTTAAAATTTCTTAGATACCACCAGAATAAAAGCAGTGATTAGATATTTAAACAAAGCTTTAAAATGTTCAGAGTTCAGACAAGCCATTAATTTAAAAGTTGCTTTTTATAAGTTTTATATTTATTTTCTACAAGCTCAAATCAAATTAATGTTGCCATTGTATTTTTTTTGTTTTTAAGGAAGTTATCACAATAAATTGAAAATAAAATATTAATCCAATTAATACAATGATAAAAATGGTCCTAATTTTCATGAATATTCACTCCACTAGATGGTAAAAGAATTTCCAGAATGATATGAAAGGAGATGAAACAACTATAGAGCATTAAGTACACATGAAAATATTGAAATAGTTGCTTTCTACCCAGTCATGTGAGGAAGATAATGTTATTTAGAAGAAACCACAAATGATCAAAGATCAGTGGATTTTTTAATAAGGAATATTATAGTCACCTCATCCCTGTTTTTGAAACAATGCGAAGTTGCCATCTGTAATGATAATTAGCTATAATTAGCCAAAGAACTGAAGAAAAGGGGTAAAAAAAATTAAACAAGAATTTTCATATTCACTTCAACCTATATATATTATTATATTTTTCCTTTGGTTAGTAGAATTCTGTAATTTTATAATGATCACAAATATGAATTGGGAATCAAGATATTGATCTCAGTTATTTTACAAACTCGTTCTTAAATAACGACTCATCTGAAAGAAAAAAACATTAATTGCAGATTTACAGATTCACAATCAAAAACTAAATTCAAAAGAATTCTACACTGAAAACATGACAGTAGGTGTATAAAATATACAAATCCAAACATGAACTTTTAACACAAAGAAGGGTTTAAGTTAAAAAAATTTCTGTAATGTTTAAAAATTCCATTCAATGCCCACACAATACGTTAGTGTCATCTGATCTAATATAGGATCAATAAAGCTGTGAGAGGGAAAAATAATTCCTATTTAGGTATCTCATCAAAGAGAATTGTGGGTTAATCAGATGATGTTGCAATATTTTCATTTTTAAAAAAAGGCTTTTTTATTCTGCTTTTCAATACTAGCTGCATGATATTTGATGTCCAAACAAGATTCTCCACTTGGATACAACAGATATCAACTAGTGTCATTATTTCCTGGTTTTAGAATCAAAGAAAATGCTCACTATAAAGAAATTTCTTCAGCAAAACTGTCAAAAACTAACAAAAAAATACTAAGCTTTTAATAATTATCTAAATGTTTCCATGACTACACAAAACATTCTACAACATTACTGCCAAAAACTAAATATATTGAAACAAACAACTTTATCCACTATATTCAAATTTATAACAGATTACAAATATTTTTTTTAAACAGAAAACTTTATAGTATTAAAAAACGGTATTTACATACAAAATCTGATGGTAACATCACTAAAGATAAAAATGAGAAACCTGCTAAGGAATTAAGTATATGTAATTTTTTCCTTTTAGTATATATCTGTACTTGTAAAAACTGTATTATTCAGTTACAAATAACAAATTTATAGCAGAACAAAGGCTTTTAGTTTATTCTTTTTAAATGCCCAGTCCTTGTAGGATTTAATTAATAAACTTTTATTTCACTGTCATTGATACTGAAATTATAGAAACCTATTTTAATGGAACAAAAAGACATTTTTAAAATCACCCCAAAATTAATATGTGACAAACTGGTTTAATTTTTTGTAAGTTTGAAAAATTTTCAACTTCACAAGAAAACAAAATACCAAATAACAAAGTCCAGGAATTTGACTGGTATTTAATTATAACAAGTTTTGTCTGTAACTTGGGATATAAAAGTAATGTTTATCAGTAAAAATGTTAGCAGTAAAAATTTGTGATGTTCCTTTTTCTTATAATATAAGACACATAGAATTTATTAATTATATCAAGTAATTTTTCTTTTTTTTTTTTTTTTTTTTTTAAATCAGTAATTTTTCCATGAGATTTCAAAGTATCTAAGTTGATTTCAGATTTAGAGTAAAATAATAAATATAGGACAAAAGGCTTTCTCGGCATTTCTAATCATCTAAATCGAAAGGTTTTTTTCCATTGATATTATTCACTAAGATACGAAAACATAAACCAACAAATATGGTATTTCATCATTTTTATCATTTAAAGCAAGTATTTTACAATTATTATACACTGATTTATTCAGACTAGTATACTTAGCTTAGTTGTTATAATTATTTCAATCAACCTTCTTCAGATGTATATCTGGAGACTTATTGGCAATTTTGAACTGAACCCTTTATTTAATCCACAGTGGGAGATAATTCTCAGTCCACTGTCCACACTGCAGGATATCTCATATGAATCAATTCATCCTTATGATACTGCTTATGTTTAGTCCACTAAACCAGATTATGTTAATTGCATTGCTTGTGCTAGGAACTGAATTCACCAAGTAACTGAATACACTAAAACAACTATATTCACTTGACCATTGTCCATTTGAAATAAATTTTAATGACAATTTATCATCTCAGAAATTCAGACATAAATTATTTTATAATTCTTCAGACAGAAAAAAAATAATAATTCATTTTTTTAAGTTTCAGTTTGATTATTTTTTAGGTTTTTACTTTTCAATGTACTCAGAAGATAAAATTGAAATCTATACTGTTTTCAAGATCACTGAAAAATTTGATAGTACAGTATTTCAAAATATGCATGTATATTTGTAAAAGCAAATTCCCTTTTTCTATATGATAATAATAAAATTATTGACAAATAAATTTTTGGAACATAATTCTTTTACTTACTAAATAATGATTTTTTTTTAATGACATCAGACAAAACCAAAACTGAGAATATATACCTAAATAATAAATATGAATGTCAGTGTGTCACTGTGTCACACCATTTCAACTTTACTCCAAGAGGCTGTAGCCCAATATATCATACCATTTTAGAATCAAGTTGACTGTGAGCAAATTGAAAACATTCCAGGCCAGATCCAAACTTGCAATCATGTAATTTTGGCTTCCTAAGTTTTCATTACTGCAACTGTTTTCAGATTCCACCATCTTGGTTTCTATTGATGAAAACAATTAAAGGGACACAACTCTCTAACTTTCAATAGCTCATGTTCAAATGAAACAATTACTGTTCTCAAATTACAGTGTTTCAAAATAAAATTGTCCAGGTTTTCAACTTCACTCCTAGAGGCCATAGCTCAACATATCATACCATTTTTGAATCAGGCCAACTCTGTGAGAAAATTAAAAACACTCTAGGCTGGATCAGGACCTGAAATTTTGGATTATCAAGTTTTCATTACTGCAATTGTTTTTGGTGACTTTTTACATGATTTTTTGTGACAAATATTTTTATACAATAACAATTTTTATAACTTGGAAATAGATTTGGGAATAATCAAAATTCATTGCTAAATCCAGCAAAAGTCACCCATGAAATAAAAATTGTTTGTACAGAAAGTAGGGACCTATGTACATTAAATAGCAGAGGAAGTATTAGCATTGAACTTTAAAAAGGTAAGCTTAAAAATTAATGCAATACTTAAATGCAGCGACCAATTTTGAGTCTTCTGTAGTTTATTTAAAACCATTTTCCTTGTCTTTTTTAAATGATTTGTTACTATTCATTACTTACATAGGTACATTAATAAACCTGCAGGCAATGATAAAAAATCATTTTATATTACTCAGGAAACATTTTATTTTTAACATAATCTCTTTCCATGTAAATGCACTTAATCCAGTGAAGATTAATCACATAGATTAAACATTATTTACACTATTTGCATTCAGACTATAGTTCTCATCTTTGCAGTTGTTATCATATTTTGGCTGTTGTACCCTCTGACTAAAACATCATACAGGTTGAGTATTCTTTATCCAAAATCTGAAAAACATTCAAAATTCAAAAGTTTTTCAGTTGCTGACATGATTTGCCACAAAATTTCAGAAAGCACTGGGAAGATTCCTTGGTGATGTGCAGCTGTTGTAAGTGCCCTCATCTGCCCAGTTAAGTAGTCTACATTGGTGTCAGTTTTTGTTAGCGATTGTCACAGCAACACCTTCGGTTGTGGATACTTACCAGGTGTTTCATGCTCAGTAAAATATTTATATTTTTTGTAAGTAGTGATCATGTTTTTTTGTACATGTACAGAAAGTACAAAATATTAATTTTATATAAAGTCTTAAATTCACCACTTAAAAATCCATGTGAGCATGACATAACTACTGTCATTACCTGTATCTGTATATACACAAAATTTATTGAATTATATATAAAACTACTTTCAGGGTATATGATATTTATATAAAACTACCTTCAGTGTATATGTATAAGCTGTGTTATGAAATGTAAAAGGATATCATGTTTATGCTTGGCTTCCATTCCCAAGCTGATCCATTTTATAGATGCTATGTACAAATTAAATAGCCCATATTCCAAAATAAAAAAAATCTGAAATCTAAAGCACTTCCAGTCCCAAGAATTTCAGATAAAGGATTCTCAACCTGTAATAACAAAAATAAAGATGAAGACAAAGTCCGAATGTAAATAGTGTAAATAATGATAACACCTTATCTCAGAAATTCAGACAGGAATTGGATATTACAGTGAAAATTCCAGATCAAAACTCACCTAAAAAGTATATGTCAAGTTACATACTTATTGATCCACTCTCATAATTTTAAAAGGAGACTAAAAACAGAACAATTGCTCCATACTTGTGGCCTTTTGCCACATCTAAACTATGCTTAGTAAATCACTAAAAAAAGGAAAACTAAAACCTGGTAACAGTCTAGGAAGTGGAATTTCCAAACAAAATTCAAAATCTGATTCACTAATAAAACATTTGGACTAATGTCCTTGGAAAGGAAATGAAGTGAATGTTCTTCATCACTAGCATATGATTGTTATGTAAGTAATTTACTCTTCTATAATTAACTAACTACTCAATAGTAGCAAAATAATTACTATACTCATAAGCTAAACAAGCAATATGATTTCATGATAATGTAGGAAGTGATTTTAAACTGCTATGTAAACTGTGTTTTGATGAGGAGTAAGGCTAGAGAAAAAAACAGCAAAGTGTGAAAGGAAAAATTATAGCCAGCATAAATATAACAATATCAATACAATAACGAGAAAGCATTAATTTTAGCTGGGAGTATCTTTTCTTTTTTATACACAGTACACAGAATTCATTCCTGACTGCTTTACAGAGAGCTACAATAGTGTCTGAAGCACATTATGCAAACAATATTTGTGTATTTTTACAGGTTATTACTGGCTGCAGTAAATTAAGAAAGAAGATGCTAGAAAAGGAAATCAGCTCGGCTGTTTTCATATGACACACACATACTAAGAGGATAGAAAAAACAACTAAGAAGAAAATAGGAAGGAATTTGCAAATGAGATGGTGCACTATGCATTCAAGAAACAATTATAAAATTAATCATGCAAGAAGAAATGTGAAGAGCATTACAGTT